CGGCAGCGTTGCTTTTCATCGCGGTGACGGCACTAATCCCACTCCAAGCCAGGGCAAAAAGTGCTTTTTCCTCGGAATTATTTCTTAGCCATCGGCAAAACGCCGTGGCTCGTGTCTCACATTCACGGCGCCGGCCCCGGCCGCGCGTTTCTCTGCCGGGTGTTCAGCCATCCCGAAGCAGTTTGCCGAAACCGGCCGTACAATTAAGCGAATCCCTGGGTTTGCTGCTCGATTTCCCTAAAAACCACAGCGTAGCGCCGCGAAAGTTTGGACGTTGGGGTTAGCGCTGCCGCAAAAAGCTCCGTGCCGCTTCGGAAGGGGCACGGTTGGGTGGGAGGGGGACCCGGTCGGGCGAGAGCTTTCTGGGCAACGACACTGGTCCTGGGCTACCACCGTTCAACGTTTACGGAGCAGATACGCGTCTGAATCCGAGTCGGTCGTTAAATGTAGGAAAAGCTCAGGCCAAGGGTCCCCTAAAGCATCTCCGCCGCGTTCCCTACAGCCGCTGTCCCACCGCTTGAGCACGGACGGGATGTTTCCAGACAAAAATCAGTTTTACAAGCCAACATGGAGCAACGTAGATATGAGTAGGGCTTCTTCTAGGAGAAACTACTTCTCCAGAGCTGAGGATCCCGGAAAATACTAATTTTCCCCTCTTCTCCCTCCGTATCGCAGAGATCCAGTCTCAGCTCCGCATGATGACACACGGCGAAGGGGCTTTCACCGTCTTCGTAGGTCTTAGAGGCTCGAGGGAAGAGCTGGGGCTGGAGCCCACCAACTACTTCATGTACTCAGGAAACGACCTGGATGAAATGTAGGTTTGGCTTCGCCTTAGACGCGCTTCGTGAAGCATGAGGAGATGAATTCCTGGGCGATGACTCCAAAAAAAACACTCCCAGCAGATGGTGGCTGTGTGGGGATTCAGACGTAGCGAGTATTCATGGAAAGGTTCGCATCGAAGCCCACCTCAAACCCTCGTGTCTCTCCGCAGAGTGAGTCGCTACCTGGCTTCTTCCAGAGAAGAAGCTGCCAAGAACATCCCTCTCCTGTTTGTCACCTGCCCGTCGGCCAAGGACCCCACCTGGGAAACGAGGCACCCAGGTAAAGGTTGAAGCCCAACCACACGCGCTTGGGAGCGGTTTGACAACTCTGGGGTTTGGTTGGTTTGATGGCTGAAAACGAGGAGTTTCTCCTAAAATAGCCATGGTCGAAGCTGCTGAGCACCAGGCTGCTCATGGAAAGTGGTCTTCAAGATAACTGGGCCAGGATATAGGACCGCAAAGACCTGGGGACGTCACGGGGAGGGTTGGGTTTGTGGCAGCGCAACGGTGGCGTGAGGGTGGGCAGAGGGACAACCACCCCAACCTCGTCCTGCTGCAGGTATATCCACGGTGACCGTCGTGACCCTTGCCAAATACGAGTGGTTTGAGGAGTGGAAGGACAAGCAGGCCACTAAGCGGGGAGACGATTACGAGGAGCTGAAGCAGACCTTTGTGGACACCATCATGCAGGCTGTCTTCAAGCTCTACCCTCGCATCGAGGACAGGGTGAAGAAACTTGGGGTCTGCGGGTCTTTCAGCTCCTCTCCTGGGCCCCGTCTGTGCGGCCCCATCCTGCAAACGTAGGAGCAGGGTCCAGGTCTGCTGGATACGAGCTCCAGCACCAACCCATTGCTGCTGCCTCCTGCCCATACATGGTGCAAGGGGGGGTATGATGATCCTCCAGGACCATCCTGGCACCAAACTTGGCCAGAACCCCCACCCTTGGCTCCGCAAGGAAACCTGTCCCAACCCGTGCCCCACGAAAACGGCTTTCTGGAGCACAATGAGACCCCCCACACCGTCACACCTACCCCGTGCAGACCACGATGTCCCCTTGTGTCCCCCCAACAGATCGAGTTCATCTCCGGGGGGACGCCCCTCACCAACCAGCACTACATCGCCAGCCCCAGGGGCGAGATCTACGGCGCCAACCAGGACATCGGCCGCCTGCGAGCCGAAACCATTGCCGGCGTGAGGGCACAGACAGCCGTCCCCAACCTCTACCTGACAGGTACCACGGCCACCACCCAGGCACCACGTTCTCAGATGAGGGCACCTCCGGGGGAGCAGGATATGGGGGGGGAGAAAAACCTTCGGTCCTTCAATGGAATATGGGGACAAGTGCTGCCATGCCATGGGGTGGCACGAGCTGCTGGAGCACGTCTCAGCGGAGCCGCATGGTGCCAACGGGAGGAGGAAAGGGCTGTGCCTCCTCCAGCTCCTGGCTGTTGTCTTCCTGCCCAGCGGTGATTTATTTTAGCTGGGCAGGATGAGGCCCTTTCCCGGCTGGGAGAAGGAAGGGGTCAAAGAGGGAGGCGTTTTGGGGGTTCAGAGCCAAGGGTTGGCGTGGGAGTGGCTGGAAGGTGGATGATGGATGGGGATGGGGATGTCCAGCAGGGTCAGCTGGGGACAGAGAGTGTGGGGCTGCCCGTGGGTCCCCACTACAGCCACTGCCATCGCCGCCTCCCGCTCCCTTCCAGGGCAGGATTTGTGCCTGGCAGGCTTCATGGGAGCCTTCCAAGGAGCCTTCATCTGCGCCAGCGCCGTCCTCAAGCGCAACCTCTACATCGACGTGGCGCGGCTGAAAAAGCGCACGGAGGCCACCAACGCCAAGAAGAGGGACTAACGCCTGCTGTCCCACCGGCCAGGACCTCCCTTTTCCCCCGGCTCACCAGCTCACCCCGTGTTTTCCGCTGTAAATCACCCGTAGCACTTCCTGCTCTACCGCAAAGCCAAAGGATCACAGTCTTGGAAGACGCCGTTCCCGTTTGCAGCCAGCTTGCCTTGGACCTCACCCACCCAGAGCTCAGCTCCTTCCACCACAACGGCCACCGCTGGCCAGTAAAAGTCAGCGCTGGCCCCTGGCCGCCCTTTTGAGGTCCAAACCCTTCTCCCAGCGTGGAGGAGAGGGGCTCCAAGAGCTGCCGTGCGCAGCGCTGGCCGGGACAGAAGTCAAGGCAACCTCAAAGGTGAGACCCACCAGCAACACCCATGGTCGCTTGATCCCCACCGGTGTCCCAGAGCCACGTGGGCCACCAGAAGAGCATCGACCTTCACCTGCACCCCCCAGACCCGCAGGGGTCAAGGGGAGCGAGCCCCCCGGGGATGTTTTCCCCCTTTCAGACGGCAGCTTTGGCACCGAGTTGGGCTCCTAAAGCTCCACGTGGGACTCGGCAGCCGAGGAAGCGGCACCTCCCGGGACGCGGCTCTGCACGGGCTCATCCAGGCAGGTTTGGTAAATCC